CTCCAGCATCTCGGTAAGATTGTCTTCCTCCCACTCATATTATATTAATAATATAGAAAATATTATTAATGTTTAGTAACTTAAATAATATTTATGCTCTATTTATCTGAAAACATTAATGGGTTATATTCCCAAAGTATGAAAGCATGCAAAAATGACTATTGCCCGAGCTCCAAACATAAAAAATGCGCTAAAAATGCTATGAGTTTGAATCTTTCGATTCATATGACTAAGTAGAATTAAATCCCAACTATCAGAATATACTATAGTAATTAATAACTCAAGTCCATGAAATTAAACATAAACATTGTCCATGCAAAGTAGGGTGCCAAGTAGCACGGATGCCAGCAGATAGAACAGGTAGATTAATATCTATCTCTAATTACATTATTTTATACGAAGAAGGTGACCCCTGCAATCCTGAAGGTCCACCATACAAAATCCTAGTTCGATAATTGAGAAATTAAGTGCTTACCCATCTTTTTATACGTCCTTTTACATGTTCTCTAGTTAAGCATCCTTTTTAGAATAAGAAACGTTTTTTTTACAGTTTGCTCTCCATTTAAGAATATTAGTATAGGATTGGGAAAAAATAAAAGTATTATCAATGATGTTTTCGACAATTTCCATTCTTAATTGATATTTGTAAGTGTAGTACAGACTGAAAAAAAAAAAAAAACAATCATTTTAGTAGATTGTAAGATACTATCCATTAGCACTTAGATTTGTGGTAACAGCTTTATCCTTTCTGTAATTGCTTGTGTGTTCGGTTTTTGTGCATAGGGATGCTGGTTTTGTGTTGTATGCTGTCTAGAGCACTGGTGTTTCTCTAGAATATTATCAGAATTACCTGAGTCTTGTGTATGATTATGCTATCAATATAAAATATTAATAGAAATTTCAACTCTTCTATATATTGCGAACATAATTTCAAATTTTTTATTAACAAATTAATTACTCAACATATTATATTTTAGTACAAGGCTTAGGAAAAATATTTGCATTGCGAGTGTAATTGAAGAGAGCAATGGCCAGCGCAAATGAAAGACTCGCTAACATTAAAAATCATGTACCGATTAAAAATGAAAAAAAAAAAAAAATCAAGTAAATTTGGTTTGTCGGCTGTTATCCCACTCTTTCTTTTAGTAACATGTTCACCCAACACGAAAATTATCGGACGGCATAGAACTTTCTAAATTCATATGTACTTTATTTTTGTTTGGTTCAGTCGAACTTTCTATCTTAATTATCATGCACAAACAACCGCACATGAAGTGTGTATTATGGATAAGGAATGCACCAAATCCTTGCCCCTTGGCCTTGAGCTAGCGAAATTACGAGGAAAAAAAAAATCTAGCTAACTCGAATAGAATATGCATTCGTTCGTGAGTAGAATCTCTAGAGAAGTAGAACAGTTTTTTTTTTTTTTT